TGGAGGGGTCAGAACGGATTGACCGTATTTACATTGAACCTTATGGGAAAATTTGATTCGGTTCATGACCAGTTTGGTTCGCGACCAGAGTCGCGGAACGAATTAAGTTCGTGAACCAAGGTACCACTGTATTCTTGTGGCTGCTGCTTATTGTTCTACAGTAGTTCTATCAGTAGATCCAACGTTCTGCCAAGCTTATAGTGGTTTTCTACAATTCAAGCTCATGTGCTCATCGGTGTACAAGTTCTGAAAACAGAGTGAAGTGCTTTGCTATGAAAACAACAGCGAAGGCATTTTTAACTTTTTTTCTGAAAAAAAAGTTGCAGGCCCACCCACAAACATTAGAGAACACCAAGATGTTTGTGTAACTGAATAGGCAGTTCAGTTCCTTCCCAAATTTCATTTTCTGTTTGTTTAAAAATAACAGTTCCAGTACAAATTCCAATGAGGTCAAAAGAGGTGTTCGGTTACTTCCAGCTCTTTATGACATGATGCACATCATTTAGCCAGGATTGTCTGTTGTGTCTGCTGCTTTTGGTGCTTGTGAGTAGTATTTAGCCACTTGGTCTTCTGACAGCCCCTTTTTTGATTGCCTTAGTTTTTCTAAGCACCAGGGTCTGGCATTTGCATTACATGTCCAAAATGCTTTTAATGAATGAGACTTAGTTAAAACTACTTTTTGGGAGACAGATTAGAACATCTCCCTCATATAACTGTATGCTAACGTTGAAGACTTGAAAGAATGAGGAAGTGGTTTATGGCAACTTGGATTTAATATTTCAGGTTAGAATAGAGTGGTGGATTGATCCTTTCCCTTGTTCACCCAGGGAAAAAAGGAATAAACAAAGTTAGGTCCTCAATATATCCTGCTTGCTACTTTTTATGAAGTCATATACTATAATGGGAAGTAGCTTCTGAATTTCTTCTCTCTTCCTGCCTCCAAGCACAGTGTTTGACTTTAGCCTCTGATGTGCATATGGATAGCTTCCTGGGAAGGAGCAGAAGTATCAGTAGAGAGCCAGAGCAGGGTAAATGATGGTGTGGAGATGTGCCTTGGCCATTGTTCTGTACCTTTTGACAAGCAGTAGAGAAGAAACCTAGTAAGTGAAATGTTACTTTCACTTTATGCATGAAATACCTGGCATGTGTTTGGCACCTCCCAAATATAAAGACATATGTAAAGCCTGTTTACTCTGTGGGCTGAATCCACTGTCAAATTGGATTTAAGTCTTCAACTTACGACCATTTGTTCAGCAACTGTTCAAAGTTATGACGGTGCTGAACAAATGATGGTTACAACTGGTCCTCCCTGTTCAAAGTTCTGGCCATCCCAGCACCCCTGTGGTCACATTGCGATCTGGGCACTTGGCAACCGGCTCCCACATATGACCAATTGCAACACCCCATGATCACATGATTGTCATTTGTAACCTTCCCTGCTGGCTTCCCCAGAAAATCAGTGGGGAAGCTGGCAGGGAATGTCTCAAATTGCTGGGATAAGTCTTCCCACCTGCACACCCTCTCTCAGCCCCTCTATGCTTGCTCCGGCCACTCATGCACCCTCCCCAAGCCTTGCTGTGCCTAACCTGACTGGAAAGGGTCCAGATAATCCGTCTCCTCCAGGATCCTCTGGAACTGCAATGCCACCACCTTCTCAACCACCTTCCCTAAAACGGGGAGGTGGGAGACTGGATGAAAATTGTCCAATATAGTGGGATCCAGTGATGGCTTCTTGAGGAGGGGATGCACCAGCCCTCTTTAAAGGCAGCTGGGAACACTCCCTCCCTCAAGGATGAATTCACCACTACCTGAACTCACCCACATGTCACCTCCCGAGTAGCCTTAACCAGCCAAGAGGGACATGGATCTAATTGGCAAGTGATGGCATTGACCATCCGGAGGATAAATAGATCCTTTATATACATACACACAAACACACACACACACACAGTGCAAAAGTTTTAGGCAGGTGTGAAAAAATGCTGTAAGAATGCTTTCAAAAATATATATTGTAATTGTTTATGTTTATCAACCTACAAAATGCAAAGTGAGCAAACAGAAAGAAAGCCAAATCAAATCAGTATGTGGTGTGACCACCCTTTGCCTTCAAAACAGCATCAATTCTAGGTATACTTGCACACAGTTTTTGAAGGAACTCGGCAGGTAGGTTGTTCCAAACATCTTGGAGAACTAACCACAGATCTCCTGTGGATGTAGGCTGCCTTAGGTCCTTCTGTCTCTTCATGTAATCCCAGACAGACTTGACAATGTTGAGATCAGGGCTCTGTGGGGGCCCAACCATCACTTCCAGGACTCCTTGTTCTTAATGCTGAAGATAGTTCTTAATGACATTGGCTGTATGTTTGGGGTCGTCCTGCTGCAGAATACATTTGGGGTCAATCACACACCTCCCTGATGGTATGGCATGATGGATAAGTACCTGCCTGTATTGAGCATTGAGGACACCATTAATCCTGACCAAATCTCCAACTCCATTTGCAGAAATGCACCCGCAAACTTGCAAGGAACCTCCACCATGCTTCACTGTTGCCTGCAGATACTCATTATTGTACCGCTCTCCAGCCCTTTGGCGGACAAACTGCCTCCTGGTACAGCCAAATATTTCAAATTTTGACTCACCAGTCCAGAGCACCTGCTGCCATTTTTCTGCACCCCAGTTCCTGTGTTCTTGTGCATAGTTGCGTCGCTTAGCCTTGTTTCCACATTGGAGGTATGGCTTTTTGGCCGCAATTTTTCCATGAAGACTGCTTCTGGCCAGACTTCTCCGGACAGTAGATGGGTATACCTGGGTCCCACTGGTTTCTGCCAGTTCTGTGCTGGTGGCACTGCTGGACATCTTCCAGTGTCAAAGGGAAGTAAGCATGATGTGTCTTTCATCTGCCACATTAAGTTTCCTTGGCAGACCACTGCATCTGCGGTCCTCAGCGTTGCCCGTTTCTTTGTGCTTCTTCAAAAGAGCTTGAACAGCACATCTTGTAACCCCAGTCTGCTTTGAAATTTTTGCCT